ACAGCAAGGCCCTGTCCCACTGGGCTGGAAGCCACCTACAATCATGAGGCATGTTGGCTACATGACGAGTCCAACTGCCTGGAGACACGCCGCCGGAGAAACAAAAGCACCTTGTCCCATAGCGTTGTGGTGAATCACACCATTATATCCTGCTCCCACGGCACATGCCCTATCAGCACCAGGATGGATTTTGTGAATATTTGCCTTGATGCAAGTAGGAAATGAACAACGTTCCTGTTTTACTGAGGCAGAAATGACAGGATTTTGCTGAATTCACAGCCTCCCCAAACTGCCTTGTGTCTTAAACGTGGATGCATCCTTTCCCAACCCCACAAAACACCCAAGCAATAAACTTCTGAGAGAGACAGTCACACGCTGAGCATCATCCCATTTCCAAAGCTGTAACCCCCTGATCTTCATCACAGCACAGAGCCAAATCTTTTGCTATAGGACCACAATCTCCCATGAGACCACTTCAACAGTGGTTTACTAGCATCTCCCAGCAGCCGAATGCCACCTGAGCAGAAAGTCCACCTTACCATGGGTTGAGCTGTCAGCCAGGACATGTAGCCATGTGAATGTAAGGAGGAGGTGGTGGTGAAAGCTGCCTGCTCTAACTTTTCAGCTGCTCTATTTACTCACTTTAAGGGGAGGGAAGAAAAAAAAAAAAACATTGGAGGAAGTAATGTTCCTCTCCCAAGTTGCACTGCAAAACATTCTTGGTAGACATGGAAACCCCTGGCAGGCTGCCATCGCTTGGCCAGTCTCCACATTAAATTTCAGCGAGCTACTCAACACTTGAATGGCTTTTAGAGAATTTAAAGGGAAACGGCAGCTGCAGGCGGGTGATGTGGCTGCCGTTCCCTATAGGCAAGCGTTAGGGGTGTTCCTGGATTTGCCTTCAGCTCTGCGGGAAAGCTCGTCATGCTTCTTCTTCGGTACAGGGCAGGCAAGTTATGACGGAGCCAGCTGAAAACAAATGCAGCGTCCTCATTTCTCCAACAAAGGAGGGTTCCTAGCCACAGTCTGCAGGAACTGAGGGCAGCCTTCAAAATACCTAAAGGGGGACTGCAAAGATGAAGGGAAAAACTTTTCACCACACTCTGGGGATTAAACTGCAGCCAAAGGTATTTAAGAAGATCCATTCCTTCTTTCTCTTGGCTCCCCCCTCTCCTGTCTCCCAGCTCTCCTCCCCCACCCTGGGGCTTCCCCATTTTTGCTCATGGTTGGGCTGAAGAGCGATGGGGAACTGGGAGCCTGGGCTCCCTAGAAATCTCTAAACACTTGTGAGAGCAGGCAGGCACGTGAGCTCGGGACCTCACTGCTCTGGGAGAAGAGCAAGGAGAGCAGAGAAAGCCTGGAAGTGATTGTTGGATGGCACGGGGGCTCTGGGGTGGTTGGACAGAGATGATCCCACACTTGGGCAGGAAAAAAGACCCTCCATCTTACCCCAAATCCCTTATTCCCACTCATTCAGGAACATGCCTTCTGCATGGCAAAGGCTTATTTCTCTCCAAATGCTGTAACCCTGCCCAATGCCCATCACCAAGGCTTCAATGTCCTTTGAAGCCCATGGAGGAAGGGAAGCGGCGTGTACCCAGCAGAATGAGCAGTGTAACAGCTGTGACGTGCGCAGAAGTTACCACTGCTCCAGCCTCAGATTTCTGTCAGCAGTGCCTGCAAACAAGTTTACCACAAGTAAGTGAGCACGAGCACACGTGGGACGCACAACTTCTCTCTTCAGGGCCCCTCATAAATTTGCCTTAGAAACCTTGTTAAGAAATCCCAGCTACTTGACAGACATCACTATCAATAAAGCCAAAACAAAGCAAGGACACTCACTTCCCAGCTCTCTTCTTACATGCTCAGTGTATTTCCAGGAGACCAGACTCTGAGTCCCCCATGGCTCTTCATTCATTTGCCCATCACTCCAAATGCAGGCAGATAGAAAAGAAGCCCCAAGGTGGGGCAGATGAGACAGGCAAGAGCCACATCCCCTTTCAGTGGTTTGACCCCAGGGCCTTTTGCTGCCATGCTGAGCAAACTCCCACAGATGAACACTGCAGCATTCTCCAAAATGGCATCATCACAGTTTTGCGTAGCAACAACGCCAGCACCGCAGTGATTGGCGAGGTGACATGTTTAGCAAGAGCCACATTTCATTTATTTCCCAAGAGGATGCAAAAAGGCACAAGCTATAAATAGGAAGATGACAAGTTTCACAGTTATCCAGTGAGGGGTCATCACTGGTTGGGGGGTGTAGAGAAAAAGACAACTATTTCCCCTCTCTCCGCAAAGCCTACTTCCTCACTGTTGCTAAATTCAGGAGTTTTGTAATACTGGTTTTTTGTTTTGTTGTTTTTTTTTTTTCTTCTCTACAAAATATCCAGCGATGGCTTAGATCACCAAACTAGATGTTTGCATATAAAGAGGGTTTTTGTCCTCCTTGTCATGAAAAAACCTCTAACAAAATAAAAAAAAACCCTCTGAAAACTCAAAGGAATAGAAGGCCAATATGAAATCTTATAATTCAAAACCCCAGCAGGAGATTCTGCTCTGACCTACTCCAGGTATTTTCAACTTGTCCCAAGGAAAGAAGTTGAAATGAAATTACAAAATGCTGGAAGGTCTGGAGTCTGCAGAAATCTTTTTTTTTTTTTTTTTTTTTTTTTTTTGACCCATATATAGAATAAGAAATCTGGAGGTTGGGGGAAAAAAAAAAAAAAAAAAGCGATCAGGTTTGTTTGTGCTATTTTTGCATAACTCTTGGCACAAATGTTTTCCAGCAGTGGTTTGATGACACAGCAGGCCTGGCTCATGAGCACACAGAGTAGATAACTCCCCATCAGCCGCAGGAAAGTCACAGTCTAACTTGCTCGGTGCATTAAAAAACAAAATAAAATTCCCCAAACCCCACACGTCTTGAGAACCCACAAATAAAAGGATTGGAGCAGTGTTGAACTCCCAGTTTATGGGCAAGGCACTAGTAATAAACTGCACTCCGGAAATAGCAGCCCAGAGGCTTAGGGAGCTTATATTGTGTTTGACCCAGGGCACAGCAGTTGCATTTCCGTAAGCTTCTCTAAGCAGACTAGTATAGTGCTTCCACGGGGTTTTCTAAAAAGAAGCAGCAGGAGTGGAGCCCAGTTGGCTGTGGATTTATGCCCCGTGGTTGCATTCACTGGTGTCTAACAAGATGCTAACCAAAGCTTCCCACGGCTCAGCTTGTCATAACATCTCTGACGAGCATGGATCCTCTGGTGTCCAGCAAGAATTGTCCACATACTATCCTTCTTCCTTCCACGGGCACTACAACAGATTTAATTTTTTTCCCAACTGCACATAAACTCAGTATCTCCTGGACCTTGGCCAATGTCAGCTGAATTAAAAACAAGAGCAAAGTTTTAGAAGTCCAGAGGAGGAAGGTAGAGCAGAGGGAAGAGGAGAGTGGCAAGCAAAGAATCATGTCCAAAAGTCCCATTTCCTTAAGAAATCAAGCTGAAAACCATTAAAACCAGCTCATTGTCCACATACTATCCTTCCTTCCACGGGCACTACAACTGATTTAATTTTTTTACCCAACAGCACACTTTTTTAAAAACTGAAATGCACAGAAACTCAGTATCTCCCAGACCTTGGCCAATTTCAGCTGAATTAAAACAAAAGCGAAGTTTTAGAAGTCCAGAGGAGGAAGGTAGGGAGGGGGAGGGTGGAGGGAGGAGGAGGGTGGCAAGCAAAGTATCATGTCCAAAAGTCCCATTCCCTTAAGAAATCAAGCTGAAAAACATTAAAACCAGCTGGGTGAACCACTGCTTAGGATCTGAGCTGAGACTGGATTTTCATCGGCGAAAGGAGGACCAAGCTGCACGACTTTTGAGGCAGATGCATAATTCCCGGCCTCGATGCTGCCACCATCTGTTGCCTGCCGATGAGACCTCATAACACAGCATCCCGCCTTCCTTTTCCACTGCACCGAATACTTAACCTCGATTTTCTGAGCACACAGTTTTCCATCATCTCATGCGTGGCCACACAGCAGTCACCACGTTAAGTCTGCAGTGAACACGAATGCAGCAGAGAACTGAATGGCTGCTTTTCCTCCCAAGCAACGCACGTGTTGGCATCATTCCACCTCCCTCTAATCTTCACATTCTGATGGGTAATGCAAACCTTAAAACCTAGCCTATTTAAGTTTGTAAAATATTAATTTGCTATAAGGTTCTTTTTCTTTAAATTGTGCTTAGTTCTCTAAAAGTGCTAGAACACAGTAGCAGAAGTGACTAGATCATCCTAGACCTCATTGATTGTTTTCTTGCCTAAAATTCCAGACTTCCTCCAGGAAAGGATACTACAAGAAATTATGAGCATGGGAGAATACAGTAAACCTGGTTCATCCCATCACTCTCCTTCTGACTGTCATTTTCACCCCATGACCGAAGGTTTTGTTTGCTCCTTGGCAGAAGGACAGAACAGATTAGAGTCCCATTGCTCCCTCAAACCCTTAAGATATGCTTTCCCTATCCATCTGATTCAGATAATTTTTGGGAGTCCCTCGAGCAGAGCTGAGCTGGAGATGGTGGCCTTGAAGTTTTAGCTTCTACATCTTGCTATGCACATCCTCTTTCTGCTTCCTTCACAGATCTAGTCTGGGTGAAGTTGCAGACTGTAGCAACGCATCCACAAGATCCTTCAGGGATGGATGATGCTTTTAAAATCCCAAGATGTGAAATACTCATCTCTAGTAACTCTGGACTCTGCTAGTATAGGGTAGCTATGATGCTGATGATGCATCAGCTTGGCTTACAGCCCTTTTTCATTAGGGGCAGAGAATTCTCTCAACAGGCCAGGAGGAAAACAAGAGCAAGAAGAGAGCTGGAATCAGTCAGGCAGCTGTAGGAAAAAAAAAAAAAAAAAAAAAAAAAAAAAGTGGTCTTAACGAGTAAACCGTCTTCCTCTGAGGAAGCAGCAAGAGCTCTGAGTGCTCCTTTGCTCCCCCTGTCCCCCCTCTTCATGAAGCCCAGCTTGAGGAACAGCAGATCAGCCTGTAAGCGACACCAGTCTAATTAATTAATGACTCCCTTGCGTCAGCTCCGTGGCTGCTGGGTTAGAAAGGAAGGCAGTAAAAGAAGGGCCAGGACAGCATGCGACTGCTGCTGGTAAATGCTGAACGCTGCTGAGAGCTGGCTGGGTTATACATAACCTCCCCTGCTTTGGGCTGCGGCACAGAAGTCGGAGATACACTGGGAGGAGAAGATGGCGTGGGATCCACCCTTGCAGCATCCTCTCTCCTGGGTGAGGTCTTCCTCCCTCCTTTTGTCCTGCTCGAGAGCTGCCATGGCACAGTTAATCGAGGTAAGGAGCAACTTGATTTACAGACTGGGGGTCCAGGGGTGTCCAGGAATGTGTCATTTCCATGCATGTTACCCAAGAAGAACAGGTAGGGGCAGGCAGGAGGGAATTTAAGGTGGCTCCAAGGAGTTTGGAGGCTTCTCTGGGAGATGCTTTTTGCCTTCTACAGGCCCAGCACTAGGAAGAAGATGCTTTTAAATGCCAATAGCTGCTGCTGAGGACGGTCAGCACTTAAAGGCTGCTTTTAAGCCCCAAAGAGGGCTTGACAAAGCACAAAGGGCCAAAGTCACAACAAGCATTTACTAGCCCAGTACTGCATGCACAACAAGTGCTCCACATCAGAGGCTCAGGGAGAGAAGAGAAGGACGAGGAATGACCAGGTTGATCCTGCCCCTGGATGTACCTGTCCAAGATAAAAGTTTGGGCTGCATTTTAATTCTTCTGCCTTTTCTAATTTCCTCTAGTTCAGCAAAAACATTAACTTTTGAGGTGAGGTTCCTCACCCAGAGCTCAGTTTCAGAGCTTCCCCCTGAGGATGACTATGAGCTCGCATGGCCCCAGCTCCCTACAGCAAGGCTGGAATGAACCAGGAGGGACAAGCAGCTTCACAGCCCAGGGCTACGCCCTGGCAACAGTTAGAACTTATTGCCAGTAGTTTCAGAAGGGAGAATCCTGCCTGAAAGGACAGCCCCCCCACCCCCTGAATTACAGATGCCAAAAATTCCGCAGCCCAGCCATTTTCAACCTGTTCATTGTTTTTCCCAAGGCCTGAACCATGTTAGAGGCAGCTGCTGTGTTGGTCAGAGCCCCGGTGCTGCAGTGCTGATGAGCAGCATGTTTCTGCAGCAGACCTTGCTTTGCTCAGACTTCTGGGTTTACCTAAACTGCTCAAAAACGCACCCGTGCAGGTATAACTATGTTAAGGGCTCTGATGGGCTAGCATAAAAAAAGGGTTGGGTTTTTTTTTCAATGTTTTAAAACCCTGCATCCCTGGCTGCCCTGCCTCTCACCTGGCCTTGCACCAAGCCAGGCCTGATCTCTACAGTTTTTAGTCTGCAGATTTAAGCAGTTCATCACCAACACATCAGAGACAATTACAGCTGTGCTGAGTTCACATCCCCACCTCATGGTCCATCTTTGCACTGACCCTCTGGCTGTGTCATCTTTACTTCATTCAGGATTTTGAAATAAGTTTTACCAATACATCCTGTCTGACCATGATATAACCACCCCAGCAAGGCAAACAGGAACCTAAAACTCAGTTACAAACTCATCCACACTGCTGTAGGTTGTTGGGTTTTTTTCTTTCACCTTTTTCCAAGCTGTTCAGCCTAAAGCTGTTCTCAAGGTGACAAGCGAGGCAGAACTTTCTCTTACAGTGCACATTTCACAAAGCATGCTTCACTGAACCCTAGGCAACATGCAGGCACAGCATCCAGCCCACCAAGAAGATGTTCTCTTTCATTCTGTTTCAGACACACACTTTACAGGAATTCTCCTCATGCCAAAGCAAAACAAAGATAAACGGCAAAACCACAAAAATTGCTATAAAGCAGCTGTAATTTTATGGTCTGCTTTACTTATACAAGATTTTCTTGAAAACTTTTCTACTTTTTATAGCCATGTCAGGGGCAGCAAATGTCATCTTGGAAACACAAACTGCTTGGGGCAGGTTAACTACCAGGTATCCAAAAATGAGATTAGTAGAACAGTCAGTTTCTGTATTTCTAAAAGCAGATGAATTACAGGCTGCTCTGAAGCTCTGCAAGCACTTTTTTTTTTTTGGTTTGTTTGTTTCAAATAATTATCCAATGTAGTTATCCTGAATAATTCAATTTATGCTAAGCCAGCCTTCCAAAGCAAACCGAGAGAGCTCAAAGGGACTTGACATCAGAGCATTTCAGTGAGCTAAAACCAAAAAAGAAAAACATTCCCACCCCCCTAAAAAACAAAACAAAACAAAACAAAACCAAACCCCAACCAACCAACAACCAACCAACCCCAAAATGTCACCAAAACCCCCCACACAATAAGGAGAAGTAAAGAAACATGGAGATGCTCTTGTTTAATGGTGTTCAAGTGTTTTCAAATGTGCAGATTCATGTACACTTTTCCACTTAGGAGCAAAGAGGCTCTGACTACTGATTTTAGTTATATTGACAAAAAGCTTTCCTCTTTCATAGAACTTTTGGAAGAATTCTTAGTGCCCCAGGGTTAAAAGTTAATTGTCTAAGGATTAGCAAGCTACCCTGGTACTGGGTAAATTTGGAATTAGCTCCATGGGCTGCCCTGGACACTGCCCCTTCAGTACGCCAGGAGCCCTCCTGTAAGGTGCTGGGAGATGCTCCTGTAAGGGACCACCTGCACCTCACACGGAGCCATGGATTCTTCCCGAGGAGCCCCTTGCCCAACTTCAGTTGTAATTTGTGAAGATACACACCCATGTAGCTCTACCTAGGCACCCCTCAGTGCCTCCATATACTGACTTTTAAAATCCATTCACATGCTCAGACATTAGCAGGTGCTAGATAAATACCTAGAAGACTGGGAAAAGACTCCTTTCCAGTGTCACACCAAAGCTCTAGCACCAAGAAAAATGAAGAATAAAGAGCACAACTTTGGCTTTTTTTTCCTCCTCTTGCACAGGACTGCTCAGAAAATGCATTTAACTCTCATAAAATAATACCCACTACATGGAATGCATATAGCACTGACCCATTCCTTAGCTTTCCATCTTCCCCATCATTTGTCCAAGACCCTCAGCTTGAATGAAGTCTGCATTTCAATAGTCACACACAGTTTACACAGGGAAGGAGGGACAAGGCCATAACATAATTCATACTACTACCGTTTTTCTCCATCAGACCTTCGACATGCTTCAGGGATGCTCTGGAAATAGAATCAGGAGAAGTTATAGAGAGGGAGGAACATCAACATTTCCAGTGCCTCTAGAACAGAAATTTCCTCTTATAAAGGCCAATATAAACACCATCACTTTTTAGATTTGGCCTTCTTTTGGGCCAGGGCTGAAAATTAGCACTGTAAGGTTTTATGACTGTTTTGTAATCAGTTTAAGGGATAGTCTGCTCTGCAGCGTAACAGTTAAACCATCAGGACTTTGCTTTGGGAAAGCACAGGGAAATCTCTGTGTTTATTTCAGCCACTTTATTGATACTAAGGAATGATAAACCAGCTGGAATGGACCACATTTCCCCAATCATCTCCATATGGTTCATTATTGAGTTCCTTATTCTCATAATTATCTTCTCATTCCTATTCCAAGGCTTTTCTCAGCCCTCTTTTAATTTACCTGGGTTTTCTCTTTTGTTATAAAATTTTCAGTCTGTCTGCAGGTACCTAAAGGAGGAGATCAGGCTGGATAAAAATAAATGTAAAAAATAAATAGCAGTCTGAAAAGCGGGCCTTTGGAAACCCCACTGTTTTATAAGAGAGGTCTACTTTGTTTTGGCAGAATTTAGGCCCATCAGCCTCCTGGGTTATCACAGGGTGCTCTGGCCTCAGATGTCATGCATTCTTCATTCATCATGGAGAAAAAAATCAGGGTGACCCGATCAGGATAATGTGCATCAGGTCAGCTCTTAAAAGACTTCACCAAGGGTGAAGTTAGACCCTGGGATGGGAAGGCACATCAGGTGTTCAGGATGTAGCATCTGGTCTAGTCAACAATCCCCTTATGTAGTCAATTCTGCATCTGTCGGACCTTTATTAAGCTCTTGGTCTTTGGAATAGAGTTTGGGGCTTGCTATTCAGGAGATTAAACTCTGTCCTAGGATGTCAAAAGAAGGATCTCTTCAGAAGCTTTATCAGACCAGAAAAATATGCCTCTTCTCTCTATCAAGATAGGAATTAAAGATGCTTCTGGTCTCCCATCAATTCTAGCTTGGACTTCTTGGAAAAGCTACAACATAAAGGTTTTCAGATGTTTTCCAAGTCCTTTCACTTTCAAATTGCCATCTAGACAAATGATATATTTGATACACAGGGTGTTAAGTGGGGTTCAGTTTATACTACACTTAGAAATATATTGTTGTGCTCAAGGGACAGCAACCCTCATATGTAGCCTGCAAGTAAATATGATTGATGTGATGCTGTATACAATAGTCTAAAAAATGTTCATGTGTAGTTGTAGTTTAAAGGAAGACAGGTAAAATTACTGTGTAGTTATAGTGGACTCCTGAGGTTGATTTCCCATGTGGATGCATAGATTTGAATCAATAGCTGACAAAAAAAAAAAAAAGAACAAACAAGAAAATAATTGTTCAGGAGGACATAGACAAGCAACATACATAATGATTTGAAAAGTGTTAGCTTTAAAAATGGCATCTTTAAGGAGGATACCAGTATTTTGGGTCAGCTAGATTCAAAATATTAAAGAAAATTATAAAAGCCAATTTCCAGAAAATTCCTTGTCATGGTCTGTCTGAAGAGACAGGCTCGAGAGAGAGAGATGGAGACTATAGAGGGTACAAAGTCACTGGACCCTCACAGACCCAATCCCACATAAATGTTAAGGAAAGACTTACACACGTGCCCAGAGAATTTCAGTTATTTGAAGAGAGATTGCATCTATAAACTAAATCCATCGTCTCTGCTAATAGACAACTATCCTAAGTGTTACAGCTATGCTAAAGAGGCTTTTGTGTGATTGCTGCCATTCTCAGATGAAAACAGGCATCAGGTTTCAATCTGAAACTGTTGTTCACAGGACTACGAAATGATAAAGGTATGAAAAAAATGAGGTTCCTGTTGGGAACTAGGAAGGCTGGAGGTCTGAGCCCACATGTGGGGTGCCTTGGGCCATTAAACTAACATTGACAGTTCCCAACTACGTCATATCCCTCAGCACTAAGTCAACCCAACTCTTAAACACCTCCAGGGATGGGGACTCCCCCCTGCCCTGGGCAGCCCATTCCAACGCCCAACAGCCCCTTCTGCAAAGAAATCCTTCCTAATATCTAGTCTAAACCTTCCCTGGCACAACT